TTGGCTCTTCTGCAGAGGGAGGTTTTGTGCCCTTGCTGTAGCTGGTCAGAGCCTGGGGATGTTTACCAGGCCTGACAGAGGCATGACCTTGGTGCGAGGACATAAGTCACACTACTCCTCTGGGTCTCTGAAGGGAAGCTGGGCTTGGGAGTAGACTCTGCTTCAAATAACATGGGGATCTGGGAGGGTTGAGAATGCAGATCCCACTTTAAATAGGATGCTTTCCTCAGAGGGGACAGGAGGAAAGCTTACGTGTTGGTGTAACGATTAAGTGTGAACAAAAATAATATAGCTTGTTTTGGAACATAGAAAGCAAATGCTGTATCCATGGTGAAATGCGCTCTGTCCCAGCAGGGGCTGTCATCTTCTCTTCCAGCACTGGTTCATGAGCCTGCTCAAGGTGGCAGGGCTTGAACTGGGTAAAACCTCAACACCCCCTGCCATGGGCTCTGTTCACAAAACTGTCTCCAGGGTCTCCTATAAGGAGCTATAAAAGGCCATAGATCCACCCCGTGCGGCTGTCCTTGCCACCTCCCACTACTGATACAGACTCCCTGGACACTTGTGCATCAGTAAGAAGTGGAGCTGGAGTCCCTTGGCTGGGAGCTGGGAGCAGGGCAGAGCACCAGCTCTGCTGTAGAGCATCTGCAGGACCTTCTGCCTGGCCTGTGTTGTTCCTCAACCTTCTTTCCGGAGGAAAAAGAACTGGCACAGGATGCCCAGAGAAGCTGTGGCTGCCCCATCCCTGGCAGCGTTCAAGGCCAGGTTGGACACAGGGGCTTGGAGCAACCTGCTCTAGTGGAAGGTGTCCCTGCCCGTGGCAGGGGTTGGAACTGGATGAGCTTTAAGGTCCCTTCCAACACAAACCATTCCATCATTCTGTGTTTCTATGACTTTCAGTGGTTCTGCACTGGCATCTGTCAGGTTACACTATGGTTGTGTTCACCCCAGGAGCCTGTGGTTCCCATTTCCCAGGCCCTTTCAGTGGGAAGAGGTATCAGACAATTTGCAAGTGACACTGTAATTTCAAACAACCAAACAAAACCCCAGACACCCCCAGTCTTCTGCTTTTGGACGTCCTCTTTGAATTTCTTCAGTGAACTCGCCCCACAGCTGTAGGCATATGCTCCTTTTTGCTGCTGTTATACAACTGAGGCTAAAATTAACACAGCTGTTGTTATTTAACTTCAATTTATACTGTACCCTGTTTCGCCAAAATATTATGTTTCGAGCAGCAACAGCTTTCCTGACTTGTCATCGGAGTTCTGGGAATAATACTTAATACTACGTGCTATTTCTTAATAGCTCATACCAAAGTGGGGACTTGATGCTTCACTGCAGCCTTGCACAGGGGGAAGCAGATGCCCAGGGCGGAAGGACCCTCTTCGGTTCACGTAACATTGCCCAGGCACAGGTTTCTTTGCTACTTCTGCTCATAGGTGATACTTCTGTTCATGGCTAAGTCGTCAGTGTGGTTTCCTGGAATGGGAAGCCTGTTTTCACCCTCCCGCTTGTGGACTCAAATAGTGGGATCTTGGGACTTAGGAAAAGCCTGAAGTGTTACGGCTTTAACACAGTCCGGCTTCTTTCTGAATGCCTAGAAAGAATCAAAGGAGGAACTCTGAGGTCAAAGAAGTCCTTTATGAAAGGCAGTCATATATATATATAAATATGAAGAATTTCTTTTTCCAGTCTGAGATGTCCTTTACCAAATAAAACCCCTCAACCTTTTTGCTGTAGTCCAAAACCCAAACCTGCTGGTCCACCAGGAAAGCAGAATCCTGACAATTGGGGTGTGGCATCAAACGCTTGATGTGTAGGAGGCAAAAAACCTATTGGCTTTTATCATCTGTTTATACTTAAGATGTTTTGTACTGTGCAGATCAGAGGGAAGAAAAAACACATCCTTGGGAAAAGGAGTAATTGTCAAGTTTACAGGATGTGAATTGCCCTCCGCTGGTGCAGGAGGGGTTAGCTCACCTTTCTTCCTTGCTCCAGCTTTCAAAGCCACGTGCTGTTAAATTACATGTGGAATGGGTTGGAGGGGGGGAACGCAAACCCTTGTGATTTCACAGGAAAATAATTAAGCTGGAGCTGCGGCCTGGCTTTGATCTCAGTGGTGCTTGCAAGCTAAATGAAAATAAAAGACTACCTTGGGGACAGCCCGTGCTGTTATTTAACCAGCTAAGCTCTGCCGTTGCTGCTTTCCAGTGGGCTTCCAGTGGCTTTGGCACTCTGCATCGTCACTGGAGGCTGCCAAACACAACTTTGGCACCTTCCAGCAGCAAAACAACCTCCACAGAGGTAGGTGGGGTACATAAAGTGGAGGTGTCTGGGGAGAAGGCAACACAGAAGGGCAGAAAGTGGCCTCCTCATGTCCCTCTGGTGATCTGCTGCTGCCAGCCTGGCCATCAGCCACCAGTCCTGGCCTGCAGTGAGGCTGGGCTCCTGCCAAGAAAACAGCTTTTGTGTTACCTTAAATATTCTGCTGCTGTTTGGGAGGAAAAATAAAGAAAAGGGGGAAAAACACCCTAAATGTGAGTTGCTGTTGTTACTGGAACTGGCCAGCTGGCTGGCTGCTTTATTTAGTTTATTTTCACCAACAAATCCCACTGAGTGCCCTTTCCCAAGGGAGTAAGAAATGTGTTTTCAGATCAGGGGGCGCATCTCACCTCTGAAAGCTGGGCAGGATCAGGCAGCCCATCAGAGAGCATTGGGCACGGTTTGTGTTCTGGGCTCTGGTGATTCATCTGGTTTTTATCCCTGAAACCACAGCAATGCGGGGTGATCACATTCTTCCCTGTGAGGGTGCTGAGATGCTGGCACAGGGTGCCCAGAGAAGCTGTGGCTGCCCCATCCCTGGCAGTGTTCAAGGCCAGGCTGGACACAGGGGCTTAGAGCACCCTGGTCTAGTGGAAGGTGTCCCTGCCTGTGGCAGGGGCTGGAACTGGATGAGCTTTAAGGTCCCTTCCAACCCAAATGAGTCTGTGGTTCTATCTTTGAGGTCCCTTCCAACCCAGACCATTCCAAGGTTCTATGATTTTATGACCTGGGATTTGGTTATTTAGCATCTCCTTTGGTACCACAGCAAACAGATTGAGGAAATTTGCCCTTAACTGGATGTGATACTTGTCTCTGTTATTGCCTGGTCCTATGGAAGGGCAGGGCTGTTCTGCTGGTCTGGGTGTAGCAGGGTTCCTGTGCATTGGTGCTTTATGCAGGAGATGGAAAAATGAATAGCAGCATCAGTCACATGCAAACCCTTCAAGACATTCCTGAGCAGTCTAAGTTAATGACAGTTTTATTTCTCAATTCTTGGGTGCATTGACTGTAGTTAACGTATTTTTCTGGGACTTGAGGTAGTGAAAGCTACAGATTCATTCTCTGTGTCCTCTAGAAACTCATAGATTCATAGAACCACAGACTGGTTTATGTTGGAAGGCACCTTAAAGCTCATCCAGTTCCAACCCCTGCCACGGGCAGGGACACCTTCCACTAGAGCAGGTTGCTCCAAGCCCCATCCAGCCTGGCCTCAGTTCAGAACATGGTTGTGGTTTTTGGCTTTATGAAGTCCTTGCAGCCCCAGCAGGCTTGTTCTGATCTTAAGCCACTGAAATGACTGAGTTATGGTACTGCTTTTGTTTAAGTCACCTTGAAAGAGTCGCATCTTCAGAGTTGTCCACAATAAGTTATTTTCAGAGTTGCATTGAAACCCTTTCTCCTGGTTCTTCCAGGGAGAGAAGGAGTCATTTCTTTTCTTTTCCAGGCTTAAGAATAAAGGAAGAGGAGTGGTCTTTGGGCAGCTTATTCCTCCACTGGCGTTCCTGTAGCAGTATTCCCAGCACATTTCAGGAGAGAAGTTGACTAAAGTCAATTTTGGTTTAAACACCAGAGATAAGATAAAATTTTATAGCGTCTGCAGCGGAACTCTGGTAAATCTGTTTGTGACGTTACTTGGTGCTGGATCTCAGCCATCTACAGCTGGGTTTAAATACTATGTTTGGTTATAGTAGGCTGCCTGCTATAACTTGCTTGAAAAGCTGTTTGTAGTGGGCTGTTCCTTAGGGCTGCCACAACATCTGGGTGTTTCAGACCCTTTGTAGTCCTTCCCCTGCCTGACACATGCTGTCCAGGCAGGCATTGAGGCTGTTGCCCGGGCAGGGGGATGCCAATTGCCATGTCAGGTCACCATTCCCCCTCCTACATAGAATCATAGAATAGTTAGGGCTGGAAAGGACCTTAAGATCATCCAGTTCCAACACCCCATGAGGGACACCTCCCACTAAACCATGCTACCAGAGGCTCTGTCCAACCTGGCCTTGAACATCGCCAGGGATGGAGCATTCACAACTTCCTTGGGCAGCCCATTCCAGTGCCTCACCACCCTCACAGTAAAGAACTTCTTCCTTATATCCAACCTAAACTTCCCCTGTTTAAGTTTTAACCCCTTACCCCTTGTCATATCACTGCAGTCCCTAATGAAGAGTCCCTCCCCAGCACCCCTATAGGCCCCCTTCAGATACTGGAAGGCTGCTATGAGGTCTCCACACAGCCTTCTCTTCTCCAGGCTGAACAGCTCCAGCTTTCTGCATGTCTGCAGTCCACGTTTTCCTCCTTCTTAGCCGTATTAGCCTGAGTGTTTTCAGATTAAAGCTTTCTTCTTGCTCCCAGTTATGGGACGTGTAGGACTTCCCATCACTTCAGAAGAAACACCAGCTCCCAGACCAGGTTCTTGCAGGACACTAGGCAAGGTTGTCTTAAAAAGCGTATCTCAAAGAGCTACCTGATCTGATCTACTTGCCTATTCCTTACTTCTTAACTGACAGCAAGATGGGTTTGATTGTTCAGGTAGAAGTTGAGGTGTAGCTCCCAGCCTGCCTGCAGCCTGACCAACCTGCCAGCAAGTTCAAAAGCGTCAGGGGTTGAATGGTGCCTTTGGGAAGAGCCCAGCACTGAATCAGTGTGCAGAAGCCATGTCTCATGTCTCTCTTCTCTTCTAGGTTTAGAAGAAAAAACAGTTCTTTCCAAAAAAGAGAAAATGAAGCTGAGGAAGGAAAGATGGCTACAGAGTAAGTACTCCTTTGGAACACAGCGCTACCGCAGGTATCAGTGTGGGGCTGTTGGGTCTCTCTCTATGTGGGGTTTGGGTGGCAGTGTGGGGCAGTGCTTCTCAGGACCCTTCACATCTGCCCCATAGCACATGGGGTAAAACTCTCCCAGCTGTTGTTTAGCCACTGAGATTGAGTCATTGCCCCAAATCTTCCTCCATGTGTAATTGAAGTGACTACATAAAGCCTTTATTTACCTAGATAGGACACTGTGCGTGTGTAGGTTTAGCATGTTTCTCTAACTTTTAAATTTCTGGTACCGATATGAGTAGCTATGTAGTGGAGCTCCCCATTCCCAAGGAGCCATGGGGGTGGTAGGAGAGCCTGGAGCTGAGCCCCACAAGCTAATCCAAGCCTCTCTGGTGAAAGCCTGCAATGGGCCTTCCAACCCTTCTGTAAGGGAAGTCTCTGGACACTGCTGGCTGTGTTACTGCTCTTTCCCATGTGCCATAGGTCAGTGAACCCGCTTACCAGTCAGTCTGGCTGTGAAATATGAGCTAAACAAAACCAGCCCACAGCAGAAATGTTTGTGTTTCCTGTGGGAAGTGTCTGTATTTGTGCTTCAAGTATCTCAGTGCAGTAAAAGACGATGCTGTGCTACGCATTGTAGCAGAGGGATTCCTCTTGCCACCTGGAGCTGTTCTTGGGACAGGTTTTTTCCCTTAACACCTTCTTGGTCAACAGATTTGCTGACAGACTCTGTTTGGGACAGGGATGTGGCTTTCTGCCACACCATATGCTTTCTGCTCCTGAGGTCTGAGCTCAAGTCCATCAACCTGTGATTTCACCAGTTGCAGTGAAGCTATCTCTGTCTCCTCTTAAATAAGAGGGGATAATTTAACACCATGAGTGTGAAGGAAACCTCCTCCTCCTCCCTGTCACCAATCAATAACGAGTGCCTTTGTCATCTGCAACCCTTGGTGTCCCTGTTGGACACAAAACATAGGTGTCTGTGCTAGTCCTAATGTCTGACTTGCCACCTGCAATTGTGATGCTCCTAAGAGGAGAGGGCTGCTGGAGCATAGCTGAGCTTTCCCTCCCCTCATAGCAGGGCTGGTACCAGGTGCCATGGTGGAAACCATGTCCTCAGCAGCATTTTATGAAGGAATCCAAAGTAAAAACGGTACATGGGACTCATGTCATCTGCAAGAAACAGAGGGCATGCTCCTGCAGTGAGGTGACAGCACTGCTCCCATAGAAAAAGCCCAGGAGCAGGGTACCTGCACTCCTCCACATATGCCTTTGCAGCATTAGTGTCTCATGATAACGTATGTTATTTTGTCCTTGCTGTGGCCTCTTTCCTGCTTTCTTGGCTCTAAAATCACTAAGCTGAGGGAATACAAAGGAAATGTAGAGGCTTTGCTTTGAGGAGAACGCCAAGATGGAAAAACTTCAGACCAAATTATCTCTGTCTTAGAAGATACTAGGTGTTAGAAGTGCTTTACAGACACAGAACTACTTAAAATTGCTGGCTCCCTTAACTCTCTGTCTAAACTGTGGCCAGTTAGTTGGCAAATCCTAGCATTCCCTGGCAAATGCTTTGTTAAGGCTAACAAATACCTGGGGATTTGTGCAAGTAAAGTCAGGAAGGGTTAGTACCAGGTGTGCAGCTTGTTATTGAGGAAAATGGAATAGCTGGAAAGAGCCTGCGTAAACATCATTAAAGAAACCGATATTATTAGCTGATGGAGTGAAATGAACTGATATTTCCAGAAATGGAGATATTTCAATGAAACTTGGCATTCTAACATTGTGACCTTAAAGAGCTGGAGTCAACTGAAAAGCATTGATTTTTATCGGATGCGGATAACTCTGCCAACTCTTTGTGGCCTTTGACACCCCAAAAGAGAGCCCGGCTTAGACTGGAGAAGTTGAACGTTTAGGAAAACATCCCTGTTTCCCTAAATCTTCCGAAGAGTTTGTTGTTTCTTCTTGTCCCAGAGATGCTTTTGTGACACTGGATGCCAAGACCCTGGGAACTAAAGTTCAGCCCAGTAGTGCAAACGCAAAACTTGGAGATTTCTCCCATTCTAATAAATAATCTCAGGAGAGACACGAGAGGGGGAAAAAGATTTGTAATGCTTCAGCGATTAGAAGTATGCACATTTAAAAATACATATATCGCATGGCTCCTCAGACAAACAAGACTTCATAGGAAAAGAATTTGGGATGTTTGCGCAGAATCAGGTGTCTGAAAATTTTGAGCACATACTGTTTATGAAAGCACAGAAGGAGTCAGCTTCATAAAGCCAGACCAAAAAAAGAAGTGATGCAGAACAGAAAGCTGGGTTCTTGGCAGGGATTGCTGTGAGGAGAAGCGTTTACAATCCAAATTTGTCACAAACAGCCATGAACAGCAAAATTGCACTTCATGAAAAGCTGTTGCTCCTCGACACAGCCAAGTTGGGGAGCAAACAAGACAAAGGCACTAAAGGAACTAGTTGGGTTTAAAGTTCTGCTTTCTTAAATGTGAGCAGCAGGATTAGACCCAGAATTGCAGGACACATCTTTCCTGCGGTCTGTAGGTGGAACTGGCTGCTTTCATGTTCCCACCAGAAATACCTGTGCCAATTGGTCCTGCTGCTGTAGCCATGCTGTGTTGGAAGCTGTTGGCCTCCCTCTGTCACCAGCTTGGCCCCATGGCCACTGGCACTGTGCTCCGCTATAGAACCAACCAGGTTGGAAAAGACCTTTAAGCTCATCCAGTCCAACCGCTCCCCAGCACTGCCAAGACCACCACTAACCCATGGCACTGAGGCCTCGGCTCCACGGTGCGTGAACACTTGCAGGGACGGTGACTCCAGCACTGCCCTGGGCAGCCTGTTCCAATGCCTGAGCACCCTGTGGGGAAGGAATTGTTCCTCAGCTCCATCTAAACCTACCCTGGTACAGCTTGAGGCTGTTTCCTCTTGTCTTGTTACTTGGGAGAAGAGACCAGGACTAGCTCAACACTGAGGCTCATCCATGCAATACACTTGTACGAGACACTAAGCAGAAGCCAGCTCTTCTGCTGTAGCCTCTGCTGGATGCACATGGAAAAGGCAGAGTCCTCTATCGTGTATCCCTTATACCTGTGGGTGTGTAGGCAATGCAGTGGGTTTCCAGACGTGGTGATCACCTAGCAGAAGGAAAAGGAGCTCATGGATCCCACTGAGCATTGACTGTTTCTGAGGGCATCATCAGGGGTCTTCTTGGACAAGTTGGAGCATCTCAGGGAAGACTTAGAGTAGCTCCAGTGCCTAAGGGGGCTACAGGAAACCTGGGGAGGTGCTTTGGAGAAGGGCCTGTAGGGACAGGAGAAGGGGGAATGGCTTTAACCTGCCAGAACAGGGGAGATTGAGATGAGCTCTTAGGCAGAAGCTCTTCCCTGTGAAGGTGCTGAGGTGCTGGCACAGGGTGCCCAGAGAAGCTGTGGCTGCCCCATCCCTGGCAGTGTTCAAGGCCAGGTTTGACACAGGGGCTTGGAGCAACCTCCTCTAGTGGAAGGTGTCCCTGCCCGTGGCAGGGGTTGGGACTGGATGAGCTTTAATGTCTTTTCCAACCCAAACCAGGCTGTGGTTCTATGATCGTGGAGCTCAGCTGGGGGCTTGTAGCAGTTCTGGGCTGTTGGGGGCCGTCTTAGAGAAAAAAATGTTCTGCTGGAGCTCAGCCTGTTGGCTGCTGGCTCTGTAGGGCTCGGGCAGCTGCGAGGCCTGTTTCTACAGCAGGGAGCCTCAAGGACTGAGGCAGAATCTTATGGGTTTAGGTGCTTAGCTCCCGTGGCAGAGGAGATTGCTGTAACGTGTAGAGCCTTATGTGCCAACAGCCTTGCTCAGAGCTGTTGCAGGGAGACTGGTGAACATGGTCTCCAGGAAAAGCCAGCAGCCTCTGTGTCTGCACTTGGTGCAGTGCTTTTCTAAGGGCCCAGTTTATCCAGCATCTGACTGCTTGAGCTCTACCTTGAGTCATGAAAGTGAGACCTTGACTTGCTCCAAACCAAGTAAACAACTGCAATGAAGTCCATCTCCTTTGCCTGTGCTAGGAGACTATTGTTTGGTCCCAGCAGCAAAACAGAGATGGGGCTGTGACTGTTCAACGCTGCATGTGGAGCTGTTTGGTTTGTCCCTTCCCCTCTTGTTTCTTTCTCCTAATTCCATGCAAGGTGTCAGTGTGGCTTTGTCCTCCCCACAACTCTTGCACCATGTTACTGTGTGCAATGAACAGTGCAAGGGATGGAAACAGTTCAGACAAAATCCAGCTGGGAATTTCACTTCCCATGTACATGTCAGTAGAGATACATAGTTAGAAGCAAGCACAAGAGGGGGAACTACCCAGATGCAGTATTCTTCAGTCTTTCCCTGGTTTAAATGAATTCTGGCTTGTTTTTGTGTCAGTGGTGAAGCAGCCTCTGAATTCCTTAGCTCAGGGATTATCTCTTGCAAATACTTCCCCTTCCTCCAGTAATGTCTTGTTTCTGATTCAGAAATAGAGAGTGTGAAGTTAGCCAAGCAGAAGCAAAAAGCCGAAGCGAAGCGGAAAGCCACACCTGTGGTGGGAGACATGCAGCCACTGATGGAAGCCCTTCCCGAGCTTTCTGACCTGACCACCGGTGGCAGGGGCAGGAAGCCACCCAAGAGGTATGTGCCATTTAGGGATGGGCTGTGTATTTCCCTTCTTCCTGCAGGATGGAGTGTCCTTCAGTTCAGCTTGTTGCTACAGCCAGTGCAAGCTCAGTGCCAGTGGTCAAGCGAACAGGGCCTCATTATAAACACCATTTCACTCCTTTCCATGCTTCACTTCCTGCAAGGAAAAAGCTTAAATGTATCTTCTGAATCTACAGCTAAAAGGGGAGTTGTATTGCTTAGGGAAGGCTTGGCAGAACTTCTGGGCTTGCTTCTGTGGTAGTTCAAGCCCTTTGAGCAGAGATTAACACTCTGGCCAGACTCCTTGTTTGCTCTGTTGGCTTGCAGTGTGATCTTGGACATGAATAGAAAGATGTTGTTTCTGTTCCCTTTATTCTACTGAAAGAGAAGGGCTATTTCTGATCTCTAACACCCTCATGTCAGCCATCATGTCAGCTGAAGGGTGGGTTCTGGCTGCCCTTATGTTTTCTCTTTTTTAGTCACGGAATGGTTTGGGTGAGAAGGGACCTTAAAGCTCATCCAGTTCCAGCCCCTGCCACGGGCAGGGACACGTCACACTAGAGCAGGTTGCTCCAAGCCCCTGTGTCCAACCTGGCCTTGAACACTGCCAGGGATGGGGCAGCCACAGCTTCTCTGGGCACCCTGTGCCAGCGCCTCAGCACCCTCACAGGGAAGAGCTTCTGCCTAAGAACTCATCTCAGTCTCCCCTGTTCTGGCAGGTTAAAGCCATTCCCCTTGTCCTGTCCTTACAGGCCCTTGTCCAAAGTCCCTCTCCAGGTTTCCTGTAGCCCCTTTAGGCACTGGAGCTTCTCTAAGCTCTCCTCTTAAGGAGCCTTCTCTTCTCTAGGCTGAACCAGCCCAGCTGTCAGCATGTCTGCAGTGCTCTGCCAGACCATCCGGTCAGTGTTAAAGCTGCTTTTCCATCTCCTAGTGCAGAATGAAAGTGCTCTGTGTGCTGCACTATCACTTGTACCTCCTTTCCAGTTGCTCACTAGGGGTTGGAACTAGATACTTGTTATGACATTAATAAGCAAGCATTTGGATTAGAGAACAGCCAAGAAAAAGGCTGTCTGGCAAAACATCCGCTTCTTTGGTTGTAGGTCCAGGCTGGGGATGCCATGAACCTTCCTGTGACTTGCTCAGTTCCCCTCCAATGAACTCTAACCCAGGTGGGGCTCTGACCTACAGAGAGTGGCTGAGTTAGCAGCTTCCTGTGCTTCTGGAAAGCCACTCCTCAGACAAACAGCAGCTCTGAACCTTGCATCTAAACACGGGAAAATATTTCCTTCCTTAACTTGGCTTTTAATTGTTTGAATAGCATTTTTTTCCCTTTCTGCAGCCATTCAGTCTGCCTGAGCCCTCTCTTTCAGTGGGAATGAGCAGCAAAAGTGCACACAGATGTTTCCAAGTCTTGCAGAGCACTGAGAGTTGGTTGGATGGACTTCTAGGCCAGGGCACAGCCTGAGCCTGAAGAGGTGGCTTTGCCCTCTTTCTGTGACCATGTGCCACAACCACATGTGGCCTCTGACTCCAGGTGGTGATCAGATGTCATTCTCTTTCAACATTTTCCCCCAGCCCCCTTGTTGCCTGAGGCTCTCCTATCTAGGAGGATGGCTTGCTCCAAGTATGTCTAGGGGAGGAAGGACAGGTAGGCTCCTTCCTTTGGGAATTCCTTTTCTGGGTGGTTGCTTCATCCAGTACAAATACCCTGCAGCTGCAGTTCTGGACCAGCTCACAAGGTAGAGCAGACCTGGAAAGACTCAGAGACGGCTGACAAGGATGACAGTGCAGGATCTGGCACAGTTTGGTGTGACTAAATTTGCTGGGGAGTCCTCAGCCCAGACAGGAGATAGAGGCAGAGAGCTTGGGAATGTAATAGTCTGTAAAATCAAGTGTGTTGTGGTTAGGAAGTAACTTGTTCATCTTCTTTTCCAATATGAGAAATAAAGCACATGGAGCATAGCTAGTGAGTAGGCAAGCAGAAGTCTCAGTGCTCTGTGGAGCTATGTGGGAGTGTGGCAGCCCTTCTCTCCCTTTGGAAGCCTGAGCGCAGGCTCTGGCTCTGGTTTCAATTTGGCTGCAAGGCTCTGCTGTCTAGAGAGCCCAGTGGGCCTATGGAACAACACAAGCGAGAAGCCCAGCCCTGATTGAGAACTTCAGGACTGTCCATCACCAGTTGCTGTGGGCACAGTGGGGGTGGCAGATTGGCTTTGCCTGTGACATGCCAACCAAAGAGTAGCCCTTGGTACATGGAGAAGGTACAGGGCTGTTCTTCCCCCTTTGCTGGCTTGTGGCTTCCTGGACTGCATGAGGATGTGTGTGCATCAGTGTTTGAGATAATCAGAGGAGGCTTTTATAGGATTTGAATCATTACATAAATGCAGGGTAATACTCTGGTGATTTGTCAGCATTATTAATAAAAGATTAGATTCTCCAGGAATTTGATCTCCTGCTGAGTAAGAGAGCATTACAGTGAAGGTCTTATTCTGTTTTATAATGAATGAAGGCAATGAAGTGTAATGAAACAGGGCTACTAACATGGTACAAGTGAACAGGCAGCATCCTCGTGGCTTGGTGGGGGGAATTAAGGCAGAGCCTTTTAAAACTGCTAGACCAGTGGGGCAGAGCTGTTGAGTGGAACTGGAAAGCCTTCAAGAAGGGACTGTTATGGTGACTTGTGGCAAGCCCTTTCTCTGGCGACTATGGGTTGCCATCCAGCTTGAGAAGGGATTTCTTTGTGCTTCTGGGAAGGATTGCAGGCAAACTGGCACAAGCTGTTCCTGTGCTGAGCAGTTAATGGACATGAAGACAGCAGAGATGCTTCCTGCTCCTTCTGTGTCTTGCAGTCCCAGTAGACACAGCAGTGTGACAGGAGCTGCTCAAACCCCTGGAGCTCTGTGTGCTCTTGTTCCTTGTGAGCACTCAGGCAATGCCAAGGTGACCTTGAGGGCTCTGAAGGGTACAGGAGCAGCATGCAGGCATCGATCTGCCCTTTCCTGCACAGGGTCTGTGCTGCTCACCCTGGCTGACATCCATTTCTCTGAATGGGAAACGAGCTTTGATGCTGGGACACACTGTGCTGGGCTGAGGGTCATCTACCTGGACTCGTGTGAGGCATTTGACACTGTTGTACATGATATCCTTGTCTCGAGATTGGAGAGGCCTGGATTTGATGGATGGACACTGGCACAGGGTGCCCAGAGAAGCTGTGGTTGCCCCATCCCTGGCAGTGTTCAAGGCCAGGTTGGACACAGGGGCTTGGAGCACCCTGCTCTAGTGGAAGGTGTCCCTGCCCATGGCAGGGGTTGGAACTGGATGAGCTTTAAAGTCCCTTCCAACCCAGACAAGTCCAGGATTCTGTGCTTCTGTGATCTTAAAACATAACTGACAGCTGATACCCCAGTGGTCCCACTGCGGGATCCGAAGCATGGCTGGAAGTTTCTTCTTGCTGAGCACCTGTGGCACTATGTATACCTGATGTGTGCGAGTGCTGGCGCTCTACAGTGCTAGCAGGGAACATGAGATGTGCAGAGGTGGTGAGGGGAAGTTCAATGGCATCTTTTCTTTAAGCAACAGTATCAGTTTGACCTGGAGGTTAGTGATAAGCAGAAAGTGATCTGGGCACAGAGCTAATGACCAGGTCTAGGAGTAAGAGATCTGATTTTAATTTACCTCCTGCCTGTTCAGTCCTGACTCCTAAGTTGTGATCAATCTGTGTCAATCTCCATTACTGGCTGACTAGGGAAAAAATTGCCTTTCAGGACAATTTCCATACAGGACAATCCCTGTACTCTTCCTATTTCTACAGCAATTGTTAAATTAACTTTCTTCTGTAACACTCACTCGCTTTGTTTGTTCTTTCCACAGCCACGTAAAAGCAAAGGCAGCACCAGCAGACTTCTGTCTGATGAAGCAAGCTCAGAAATGCCAGCTCTTGTAAGTACCCAGTAATTAGTGTCTAGTCCCTGCTGAGCATTATGGAATGGTTGAGACTGGAAAGGACCTCCGGAGGACATCGGGTCTAATCCCATGCCCACCAGGGTCATGTAGAGGTGGTGGTCCAGGTCTACTCTCAGACAGCTCTTGAATATCTCGAAGGATGGAGATCACACAATCTCTCTAGGCAACCAGTTCCAGTGTTTCAGGCTTGCAGCCCTGAAGACCTTAGAAGAGGTGGCAGCTTTGTTTTTTTTCCCTTTTCCATATTGCAGGATGTTTCTGGGTGTCCTTCTGGCTTAGTCCCTATTAGACTTGATCAGTTCTAAATGGGTTCAGCCTGTTTCTGCTTCAGTCTCATGTAAAACTTAAGCTAAAAGAGCAGCAGAAGCTGCACTCGCTCCTTTAAGTGTTCACTTTTGCTGTCTCAGGAAAAGAAAGTGATGGCTGGGGCCTCGTGGGTATGGTCTCTGGGCTTTCAGGACAAACCCACCCCAACTGTCATCTTGTTCCTCCTGGCCACAGTTGTAAGTTCTGGCTGTACCAAATGAGTATGCCTGTGCTGTGTCCCTCTGCGTGGCACGGACAATGTGGTTATCAGCCCGGTCGTGCATCCCATGCCTTGGCTTGCTGAGTTGGAGCTGCAATATCCAGCTGTGGCTGAGTCTGTTACGACACCAGGCCCATGTAGCTCTAGCTGATGCCCTTCAGGAAAGCCTCCTGTGGTGGTGTAGTTGAGGAGCTCCTGGAACTGCATAGCATCAGGAGCTACAGCTGATCTGTCAGAACACCTTTGGGATGCTGACTGACATGTCCCTTAGGAGTACAGCTGTCCACTGGCATCTGCCAACCTTTTCTTCTAAAATATATCACTAAATGCTTTGGAATGACTCCTGGGCTTGGTCTGGCAACTCCTTAGTCCACTGTATAATCTGCTGGATATCTTATACTGGCACCAGGCTTCAAGAGCGTCATTTCCCCTCAGCACAGCACCCCTGCGGCTGGCACTGACCCCTGGCCCTGCTTTCTGTGGGCCTTGTTTCTAGGATATCTGTCAGTTCTGTGCCATTCAACTTCAAACTGAGACTGAGGAGAACAGCCTACAGACCCCGGCACTGCTCTCCAGCATACTCTGTGAATACCCTTCTCTGTGTGGAACTGGTCAGTGTCGATCCTGGGATGTTTTTCTTGTTCAGTTCTGCCTTTCTGGACAAATCCCTCCTTGGCTTCTTGCAGAATCCCGGGGGTCATGACCTTAAGTGTCACCAGTGGGTCTCGTGCCAAAACTCATGGGTGAGGAACACTACTTGAGGAGGACTTGTATACTTGTATTAGGGGGCCTATAAGGATGCTGGGGAGGAACTCTTCATTAGGGACTGTAGTGATATGACAAGGGGTAAGGGGTTAAAACTTAAACAGGGGAAGTTTAGATTAGATATAAGGAGGAAGTTCTTTACTGTAAGGGTGTTGAGGCACTGGAATGGGTTGCCCAGGGGAGTTGTGAATGCTCCATCCCTGCTGGTGTTCAAGGCCGGGTTGGACAGAGCCTTGGGTGAGATGGTTTAGTGTGAGGTGTCCCTGTCCATGGCAGGGGGGCTGAAACTAGATGATCTTAAGGTCCTTTCCAACCCTAACTATTCTATGATTCTATACAGATCTGCAACAGAATAGGCAACCACCACAACCTTGTGTCTTAGCAAGGTGGCCCCTTGTGTGCCCCCCCTCTCTTCTGCACAAAATGGGGCAGAGGCACTGAGTATCCTACCAGGGTGATCTGGGAAGTCTGTGCTGCTTGGGAGGGAAAAAACTGGGAGGAAGGTCTTGAGTTTGCTTTTCCAGGATGTTAGATAGATAGGACTGGATGCTCCCTGAGCCTCACCTTACTGACCCAACTGCCACAACCTGAGTTTCGGGTTTGGCTTCTCTCTCAGTTCCAATGACAGGGGCAGGCTTAGCTCCAAGCTGGAGAGCACTCTGCTGATCCACAGCAGCTCCTAAGGATGTTGAGATGGGTATCTGCCTGGGCTGTGGGGAGCCTGGTAGCCTGTGAGAGGGAGATGGGAGGCTGCAGTGGGCGTGACTTACTGGTTTATGCACTCCTGCTCTGTTCTTATTCCTCCCTGCTTGCTTGTTTTTTAAGACAAGGTCATTTCCACAGCAATCAGCAATTGACTAAGCATGCAGAGGCAATTCTGTCATGATTCTCCCATGGTGGCTAACTTAGTGTTGCACACAGTATTACCAAGCCTCTACATTGAGCAATAGAGAGTCGGTAGATGAGCTCTTCAAAGCAGAATCTGCTTTTGTGCTAGTGCAGTCTGAAGTTGTTTTCATTCCTCGTGATTTACTAGATACCCAGCCTCTTGTTCCTGGTTTACTAGGGAAAAGCTCTAAAAAACCTCATTTCTAAGTGATGCTGGACACTGCTGTGATTGTTTCTGTCTCCGTGGCATGAGTTCAAGTCTCTGGCTCCTATGAAGCTGGCAATGATTTGAGCTTTGCCCTTGGGTAAATGGGCTTTATTTCTTGCACTGTTTCTTTCTGAGGCGATTCTGTCTCTACAGAAACCCACTGCTTCAAGAGTGCTGCTCTTACCTGCTCAGTTCCTTTCGCATAAGGCACTCAGCACTTGTGTATTCTTTTTCTTTCCTCAGAGAGGAGGAAGTGGCTCGGTTTCGCGAGGTCATCTCCAGTCCTAGCTACAGAGCCAACCCCCTCATGGCCATCAGTGAGCATCTCTCCAAGAGGCTGAGGCAGGAGGAAGGAGGTAAACCCCTCTAGAGTGTTAAGCTGGGACCAAACGTGCACACTGGAGCTGGTGCGAGGGCTTCAGGCTGCAAAGTAGCACATCACTAACGTGACCTCTCAGCCACTTCAGTCCCTGGAAGCAGTCCAGCAGATTATTAAATCCAACAGCCCTGCTTTCTGTCTGCAAGAATAATGCAGTTCTCTCCTGACAGTGGCAGCTGCTCCTTGGCAAGCAGCCTGCAGAGAGCAGGGTAATCTGTGAGATCTTTGTGCAGACATAAAGCTCCCTGCAAAGTGTCTTGACACCTCTTTCTCTTGTAGCAGACACAATGTCTAAAATTGTGCCACTGGCAACATATCTGTTTTCTGTCATTTCCCTCCCCTTTCTGACACCTCTGACAAGCCAGTCTCTAATGCTCTGTTGAGATGGTTCAAGACCCCCAGCCCTTGAGCCCAGAGGGCTGTTGGAGATCTGTGTAAAGACCAGTGCTGCTGTTCAGAGACATTGCTTAATGTGAGAACTTTAGCTTTGGAATAAACACACTTTCACACAATATGCAGTTTGTCTTGTTTTGGTAAATACTAATAGAAATATGAATTTATTTCCATCACTGGTAAAATGACTTAACAGAATATCTCCTGTCCATGTGTACAGACAGTGAAGCACCAGACTGCTGCTGCAGGGGAACCAGAAGCCATGTGAAATCATTGCAGATCACATCTAACTGATTGACTTGCTTCCTGTGGGTGACGCTGATCCCTTTTGGCTTGGGTTGTGCTCCCTGCTTGGCCTGCCCTATAGGAAGCATCCCGAAACATGTCCTGGCTGCACGCTGTGGGCTCCAGCTGATAATTTCCATGTGTGGCTTTGGGAAAGGTGAGGCTTTTCCTTCTACCAAACACAGATTTTCACAAAACTCCAGTGAATTTTTATGGGGACAACTGAAGGCAGCGCCATTACCTATTGGAGATGATCGCGATTTGACACCCCAAAATGTCACTGCTGTCTTTTGTGAACCATACAGAAGTTTTCTGGTGCTTTTTAACCTTGGAAGAGCAACCAACTCTGAGGAACATCTGAAACCTTTAAGAAAGAACATGGAATCTGGAGCTGACCCTTATCCAAGTTGGTGCCTGAGAACAGCTTTGATGAGAGTGGGAGGCACCTTGATCACACCTGTCTCTTGAGCCACTATTAATGCTCCTTTTTCTCCCTTTAGGCTGGCAGAGGCCACATAGACAAGTTTTCTATGTCCCATCTTTCACCCTGTTGCTCTCAGGCTGGCAGAGAGCTGGCAGGGCTTTCATCCTTTTTGAGAGGTTGAAACTGGATGATCTTAACATCCTTTCCAACCTAAACCATTCCATGATTCTGTGCTCATCAGAGCTGGGAGGCAAACACTGCTGTGCTGGAATGCCCTGCAGGACCCAGGCTCTGGAAAGCAGAGGATTGTGGTTGGGTCAGACATTTCAAAGTATCTCCCCACCTCCTGGCTGGTTCCTGCTTGCTCCCTTACCACTATCTGCTTATGTTTCTTTGAGGCCATGTTGGATCTTGGCATCTGAACATCAGCCCCAGCTTGCCCTGCTCATGTTATGTAGGTTGGACACTGCCTTGGAGAGCTGGGCCTTGGATGGGGTTGTGCACTAAGGGCACTTCCTGTAGCTGCTGTTGCTGCCAGTGGCTCACAACAGCCCAAGATGTGACTAAGACTTGGACCAAGCTAAGGTTTTCTCCCTGTGTGTGATCTTTATCCCTTTACTCTTAATCTAGTTGTCTCCTGAGAAAGGCGCCATCCTTGTGCTTAAATGGGAGGGGAGGGGAGAGATGAAGAAGGTGAAGACAGCTGAGCACAAAGGAGGATGAAGTTTGCTCCTCTTGTTAGTGAACAGCACACTCAGGGATGGAGAAGTGCATCTGGAGGGCAGGAGGCAGAGAAAGGCAGCTTGCAGGGCATGGTAGAGAACTTGTGTTGCTTGTTTTCTGGTCTTTGCAGGTTTCTCATTGTCTTGTGGTTTAAAAAACACCCTCCTAGGTTGTGCACTGTGGGTGGGATCATATCCCTCCCTCAGAGCTGCGTGTGGTACATCATGACTGGGCTTTGCAGAGATCAGCCAGAGGGCTGATTGCATTTGACAAGCACCAGTTTCCTGGGCACCATCTGTTTTCCACAGAGCAACACCAGCCTTTCAAGCCTCTGGAGAGCTGGATTGTCCCACACACCTCTGCTCCAGACCAGTTTCTTCTTAGTAACCTTCCCTACGGTGATAACAAACACCAGCTCCTGTCTTCCTGGACCACTTAGTTCTCTATTCACAGTCTTACAGTGGAAGCAATTCCTGGATGGCCTGAATTGCAGTGTTAGGGGAAATACTGAGCTGGTAGAAGGGCCAGGTATAGTTGGGATCTAGGGTAGATGTTACTGTGGGTTATGTGCCAATAGATAGGAGAGGGGTGGAGCAGCTCTGCTCTGGAGCCAGGCTGAGAGAGCTGGGCTGGTTCAGCCTGGACAAGAGAAGGCTCCTCAAGGGGAGACCTCAGAGCAGCTCCAGTGCCTAAAGGGGCTACGGGAAACCTGGAGGGGGGCTTTGGACAAGCGCCTGTAGGGACAGGACAAGGGGAATGGCTTTAACCTGCCAGAACAGGGGAGATTGAGATGAGCTCTTAGGCAGAAGCTCTTCCCTGTGAGGGTGCTGAGGCGCTGGCACAGGGTGCCCAGAGAAGCTGTGGCTGCCCCATCCCTGCCAGTGTTCAAGGCCGCAAAAAAGCATCACCAGAGTGAAGGGCTCTGTGGTTTGTGTAGCTCTTCCAGGGTGGAATCAAGACAGGGGCTGTCCCCATGTCTCAGCCTGCACATGGACTTCCCAGTTGCCAGCTGTGATGATTTATGGCCAGAGCTAGTCACTGGAAATTTGGGCACCAGCAGTACAGTCATAGAAGCCCAGCGTGGTTTGGGTTGGAAGGGACCTTAAAGCTCACCCAGTTCCAACCCCCTGCCACGGGCAGGGACACCTTCCACTAGAGCAGGTTGCTCCAAGCCCATGTCCAACCTGGCCTTGAACACTGCCAGGGATGGGGCAGCCACAGCTTCTCTGGGCACCCTGTGCCAGCGCCTCAGCAGCCTCACAGGGAAGAGCTTCTGCCTTATCTCCAACCTGAGCTTCCCCTGTTTCAGTTTAAATCCATCACCCCTTGTCCTGTTACTACAGTCCCTGATGAAGAGTCCCTCTCTGGCATCCAGCACTCAGTTTGGTTTCTGGCTCCAGTCCTATCCCTTCAAACCACTGGGAGCCAACAGAGCTGAAACCTCATGATCTGGGAAGCAGAGGGGTGACTGAGCACAGGGAGGTGTTGAGCTGGGCAGCTCCACCTGGTCCAGCCGGTAGCTGGTGGCCCTTCATCTCCATGCCCAGCATCACTTGGCTGTGTCTGTCTCTTACCCCTCTGTTTGAAAATGTTGATCTCCTGGGTCTTGAGCTGCAGTTAAACATGGGATTGTTTGAAACCACCGTTCCCAGCCTGCTGCAGGCATCTCCTGCCCCCACCAGCCTACCAGTTGAGCAAAGGACTTAAAATCTGCCAGGAAACAGGCGTCTGCAGCATTGAGTCGCCCTCGCACTTGGCGCATGTTCAGGAGGATGGAAGCTTTCGTGCCAACTTTCCTGGTTTTGTTTGTAAGATAGCAGGTTGGGAGAAATAGCTCCAAGGAGTGCTTGTGCCAGAGGGAAGGGCAGGAGCCTCCCCAAGCTCCTCTGCGCTGAGAGGAGTAAGCAGTGAATGCACCACACTGCGAAGATTTACTTTTCACAGCTCTTTCCTTTCTCGGTGGTGGTTCTGCCTTTGAAGGCTGTTCCCAGTAGTGTGTCTCAAAGCAGAAGCTGGGGTATCCTTGTCCATCTGGTGATATCTGTGGGTATTTCCTGCTACACACAAAGCACCCGAAGCACCAGTGGGTGGATGGGGATTCTCCTCTTGCAGCAGCTCAGGGGTAGAGTCTTTGGCTTGCAGGTTGCAAAGGTTTTTATAGCAGCTCTTGCAGCTCGTGTGTTTCTCCTTGGTTCTGTGTGTGCTGGAGCAGAGCTTGCAGCAGGGCAGCAGCGTGTCTCACATCAGCACAGTGAGTCACAGGCCTGGCTTCAGCCTGTGCTCCAACCCAAGGAAGTCCCTAGTGTGAGTATGTAACCGCCGGCTCCTTCCTTCCGCTCCCTGGTTTCTCTGCCCTGGAAAGTTTTCCTTACAGCCGTTGTTCGAGTGAGTTCCCCCATCCCTTTGCATATGGAAAATATGACTTAAGCCAGGTCAGAGCACTTCTGCTCTGCTTTACTTCTTTCAAGGCCAAGGGCAAGGTCCTGCCCCAGGGCTGGGGCAATCCTGGCACAAACACAGGCTGGGGGAGACTGGATGGAGCAGCCTGAGGGGAAGGACTTGAGGCTGTTGGATGAGGAGGAGCTCCCCATGACCCGGCTTCTGTGAGCGCTTGACTGCAGAACCAAAACCCCCCCCCCCCCCCCCGTGTGTGTGTGCTGGGCTGCACCCCCAGAGCGTGAGCAGCAGCTCAGGGAGAGGATTCTCCCGCTCTGCTGTGCTCTGGGGGAGACCCCCCCCTGCAGTCCTGATCCAGCTCTGGGGCAACAGCACAAGAGGGACATGGAGCTGCTGGAGTGAATCCAGAAGAGGCCACGGAGGTGCTGCAAGGGCTCATCCTCCCTCACCTCGTGTGTCACCAAGACAGGTGTGAGCAGGAGCTGAATCACACCCCAGACCACAGGAGCATCTGCCTGGGACTTGGCTGGCTGTGACTCAGCCTGAGCATGGCTGTTGTTGCTGCAGCCGGAGTCCTGGTCATAGAATCACAGCCTGGTTTGGGTTGGAAGGGACTTAAAGCTCATCCAGTTCCAATCCCCCTTCCTAAGAGCTCATCTCAATCTCCCCTGTTCTGGCAGGTTAAAGCCATTCCCCTTGGCCTGTGCCCTACAGGCCCTTGTCCAAAGCCCCTCTCCAGGTTTCCTGTAGCCCCTTTAGGCACTGGAGCTGCTCTAAGGTCTTCCCTTAAGGAGCCTTCTCTTGTCCAGGCTGAACCAGCCCAGCTCTCAGCCTGGCTTCAGAGCAGTGCTGCACCAGCCCTCTGCCACAGACACTTCTGCCCATTCAGGATCTGGATCCCACCACTGCAGCCACTGCCAGGAACCCCTGTGGTACCACATAGGACAAGAGTGGCTCCCCACATGTGCAGGGCTGATGAGCCACACTGAGCAGATCCAGGCAGCCCTGTATGGTAATGGGAGCAGTTCCTGTACAAATCACAGCTGGTTCACACAGGGTCACCAACACACCCTGTCTGGCACGAAATGCCAATCGTTAGAGCAGAGAGAAACCCTGAGATTATACTTTATGCATCCTGCTTGGAAGCAAGTGGTCTGGAAAATCCTGGAGCGCTCTGATGCAAAGGTTTAAATCTTAACAATGCTCCTGGCAAGGCTCCTCTGTGTTTGCACTCTTTAACATCTTCGTAAGGAATCAGGCTGCTCAGGGACCTGCTTCAGGGACCTAAAGGC